TGAAGAGTTGTGAAGAATCTGTAAGGCTTGAGGCTGTATCAATCATGAATGTGATTTTGATGAGAAGTGATGTTTATACAGAGAGAGAAAAGTAAGTAATGTAGTATGGTTATGTTAATAAAATTTCTAAAATGATCTACTAATTCTTTTATGTCCTGAATGATATTCTTTTTGAGGTAGGTTTGGTCAGATTCTGGTGTTTGAAACTATTTCTCCACTGCTGAAAAAGGAAGTTGGGTCACATGTGCAAAAGGAAATTGTGCAACTTCTTTACCTGCGTTTAAATTGTAAGCCAACAATTTTATTCTTTGTTCTGGTGTCATCATACCTACATTAATGTGCTGGGCCAGGCCAACCAGCATTGAGCCCATTTTGGCATCTTTGCTTTCTTATTTCTTAACTTAAAGATTTACCAGTGCTGGTTCTTTTGTTTATGACTTCATGCAATTTCCTAACATGTTATGGTTCTCATCCAATGAAGGTCCCAAATTGTTGGTCACATTCTGCTCTGAATGTTCTTGGGGGGAGAGCGTCAGTGCTGCTAATGATAACCATCAAAGTAATTCATCTTTCAAAGTATTCAGTATGGTCCTAGAGGGTTTGGCTGATTGTATAGCTTGCTGCCGTAATGGTTTACTGGTAGGTCATTCTTAATTTATTCTTTCTTCTGATGCCAATGCATGTTGTGGATATCATCTTTAAATGCAAACACTGCTAGATCTAAGTGTTCCTTTGTTGTATGCTAGGATGTAAAAATGTAGATTAGAGTTTCTATTGTATTGCACTTTATAACAATAAATTACAATTCTTTAATTTGTTGAATAAGTTGCGAGAAGGTGATTTGATATGATCTTGCCAAAATGCTCTTGGATGGGGTGATCTTAGGAAAGGTTTGCAATATTATTTTTTGTAAATGAGCTTGACACTTAGTGCTTTTCTGCAGTCTGCCCTTTAGCTTTAAGCATTGTATTAGTAATGTTCTTGTTGATGTGCATTGTTGTAGAAATTAATGGAAAAGTTGTTCAAGTAGCTAGGGTTGTATAGGGCTGAAAGCACTGAAGAAACTTGTACAAGAACTTGGTCTCACTCATCTAGTTGGAAACTCAGTTGTCCAAGGTCTTCCCACAACTGAATTGACAGTTGATAATACAGTTATATGCACACTCTTCTATAACCTTGTTCCTGTTACTAACTCTTTGGAAGATGTCATCTACATGCTTTTTAAATTGTATTTCAACTTTGATGCTTGATTTTGTTTATTATGAAATATGGACCTGTTGCCTTGTATTGTTACAATGTATTTATTTCAAAGTGAAGCTTGACAAGAATTTTTTCTGATTCACCATCTTAAACAATAATCTTTCAGGACTTGGAACTTCAAAGAAATGCTATCATTTTACTGGCATTCATAGCCTCATCTGGAAAATCTGGCTTCAACATTCTAGTGAATCACCAGCTATCTAGAGAGGCAACTTTTCTGATGCTCATCTTGCAACTAATTGTCTCAGAGATAGACATTGAAGCAACAGTCTGTACAAAATCTGATGAAACTTTTCGAGCCAGGTAAGTGAAAAGTGGTATTTTTGTATGGAAGGACCAATTTGGGGCCAAATTAATAAATAGTAGGGACCAAATCAGAGATTTTTTTAGTTTGGGGACCAAATCGAGAGTCTCTATAATAATTGAGAGACTAAATTGGGGATTTAACCTAATAACAATAGTAGTCCATACCTAAACATCATCCATCACAAGCGTAGTGTAATTAATATCAATTAGAACCTCATAAGGGTTAAAAAAGAAGCAATTTTATAACTAGAACACCAGGGCATTGACGAAGACTTGGATCATAGTGCCATGACCAAGACTTAACTAGGTCTTTTGTTAGTGTGAAAATTTAATGAACAAAATGTCAAAACATCATTTCAATTTACATTTTTTGCTATTGTCATTTTTTACATTCCAAAGAAAAGGCAGTCTCAAGGTTTTAAATAGGGAAAAATAATAAGATTTGTCAAAAAAAAAATACTTTTTAATATTTGTTATTATATTTTGAATTCTATTGCTATTTTTTACAATCTTAAAAAAAAAAAAAAAAAACCAGTCTCAAGAACTTAGAGTAGGGAAAACAATAAAGTTTTCTAAAAAGATTAATGTTTTTTTAATATTTGTTATCATATTCTGAATCCTATTGTCAATTTCTACACTGAAAAAGAAGTCTCAAGGTCAGCAAGATTTGCCAAAAAGATTAGTGTTTTTTAATATATGTTATTACATTGTAAATCCTACTACCATTTTATACACTCCTAAGAAAAAACAATCTCAAGATCTTAAAGTAAGGAAAAACACCAAGATTTAAAAAAAAAAAAATTAGTGTTTTTTAATATTTGTTATTATATTCTAAATCCTATAGCCATTTTTTGCACTGAAAAAAAAAAAAAAACAATTTCAAGATCTTAAAATAAGGAAAAGCAGCAAAATTTTTCAAAAAAATTAATTTTTTTTAATATTTGTTATTATATTTGAATTCTATTGTCATTTTTTACCCTACAAAGAGACGGATATTCTCTATTTTTGAAAAAAAATAATTATTTATTACTACCATTACATATTTTTAATAAGATAAAAAAAGAAAAAAGAAAAATTAGGGGTCAAATACAATACGCCCCAAATGATGTTTTAATTTATAGAAACAGACTGATAGTACTCTGTCCATCACGTGAAAAGATGTATGTTCTTGAACATTAAAAGTAGGAAAAAGGTTTCTAACTTGCCGTACACGGATTGAGTTCAAACTCTCTATACTATCAATATTTAATTCTTATAGCTGATTAGCAAGAATATGCCTAATTACATTTGGTTGTATGCAAAATTTTTGGTAAATAAGTCATCAATTTTTTGATCAGCTTGGGGCAGAGTATTATACAAATTCAAACTCTAGTTTCAAGTGATTTTGTACAAATAATTATATAATTTTTTATAATTTTTTTTATTAAAAGAAATGGTATTATTTTAGTAATTAAAATTACCATTTTCTTAAAGTTTTTTAATCTATCGCTTATAAACTTATGCACATTCATTTAATATTTTTAGTTAAATCACAAAGGTTATATCTTTAATCATAAATTTTTAAAAGTGCTAACTTTGATTAATAAAAAAAAGTCACATCCTTAACTAAAAAAATATTGAAAAGTTTTGTGCAATCTCCTAATTTCAACAACTGAACATCAAATCCTAATAACTGAAGATGAGAAAAGTTTTGTCATGAGAACAACAAAGATTTAGTGGCATGGTTTATTAGGATTGATAATGGTATGAAGATAATTCATTGTGTTCTTTATATATATTTTTGTTCAAAATAAATATCTAATATTCCGTTGTTGTGATATCTGTTGTTTTTATAATGTTCCTGGGCCTTGCTCTAGTCTAGTTTGCATACTTTATATAATGGTTTCAAAGAAGTCTGAAAGATTAACCAATTAAGTTTCGTCTCGTCAAATATTGTATTTGTATGCTAAAAAGTGAACCCTTTTGGTCTATTTGTAAGTTGTCACCATAGATTCAAAGGTGGAACCAAACACATAACATGCCTATCTTTGATTGGTCAAGTCTTGATGATCATAAATAATTAATTTGAATTGCTTTCCCACTAATATTGATGCAGTGTGGAAAAGACTTGGTTTTTGCTGCTAGCTTTACTTGTTATTATTTATAATGTCTAAAAGACTCAGAAGAATCATTGCATCTGCAGAGTTGATTCCACTTACTAGTTCTTCTTCAGTGTTACTCAATAAACAATGCCTAACTTTGTGAAAACGCTATATATTATTTAAACTATACAGGTCACTCCCAGGATTGGTAATGAACTGATGATCATTAGTGTATTTTTAATAGGGTTTTTTTAATACAAGTTAATGATGTATTAATTATTTTTTTTTTATAATTAATTGATATCAAATGCTCAAAAGTTAATTTTAATTTGATAGTAGTAATAAAATAAAAGTTTGTCTAATATGTAGCCCTAGAAGACATATTAAGAAGGTATTAATTGTACTTTTTTATTAATAAAATTTTTTAATTTATATTTTAAAACACAAATTAAGAATGTAATTA